GAGGTGTCCTGAAGTATTTGCAGGTATATGCCAAGAGAGGAAAACATTGTATTGTAATAAATGAGGGAAAGCATAGAAAGTATTCCCTTTCTGGACTGGCCTTGGCATACTTACTCACTGTGTTAGCTTCCTGGTGCTGGTGACGCAACTTGCCCCATGCTGAGTGTCTCTGAGGAGGTGCTCTACACCTAGGGCTTGAATCACAAGGAGCAGACACCTGGCCCATCTTCCTCACCAAGGAACCCTTGTGCCTTGGAAAACTGCCAGTTGTATGGTAAATGCTTAATAAATCCTGACTGAAGGAAGGGGTCACTAGAACCCAGCCCCCCGTCACATGTATAAAGTGTGGTGTAGTATACAGAGGGTTTTAAGTGTGGTTCCCATCCTTGTGTCCCTTCCATGTGGGCGGTGAGCTTTCCTCACAAGCTCCTCAGTGAGGTGCTGTTAATACCCCCCTTGTTACAGAGGAAGCCACAGGGCTAAGGCAGCACAGCAGGACTCCAGCCCTATCTGCAAGAATTAAACTCCAGCCTCTTAAGTACTGCATTACCATGTTCCTGCTGAGCACCTATTGAGGCTGGGCAACGATGGCTATCCCCATTTTACAGAATAAGCTGGAGTCCAAAGTGGACGTACAAATGATTCAGCTAAGCTTAGAATCTCAGATTCCTGACTCATGTCCTGTATTTGCAGTTATGACCAAGTGGTTCAGCTTGATCCCTGAGACCTCTTTGGAAATATCTGTGACCATTTTTGGATGTTGTAGGAACACAGGCTATTATGAGCAGTATGTAACCCAGCGAGATGTAGTTAACAGGATTGTTTTTAGAAAGAAAATAGGGTCCTAGAAACATTTCCCAAGGTCTCAGGGGTGAAATCTGCACTCTTACTCGACAGGCCGTTCCCTCCAGAATGGACCTGCAGCCGGCCTTTCCCTCCTCTGTTGGCAAAGAAAAGACAGAGTAAATGTTGGCAGGAACTTGGGATGATGGTGTGGGGCGAGGGGAGGGTACTTTACTTCACATTGAAATACATACCCTATTCACTTTTTATCTTAAATTTCTCTCTGGAGTCATATATTCTTAATTCTTCTGCTTAGTAATGTGTTCCTACCCCTGGTTCTTGCTTACACCTTTTTGGCCTGGAGTACCCTCTGATGACTTTTCATCTCTGAAGACTGAAATCAGTTTCCTTTTCCTTGTCCCCTTCCCCACTGCTGTTCTTTATCACAGCTCCCTGCCAGTTACCTGTCAGCGGTCCAGCATCACCTCTTTCCATCACCCCTACTTATGGGAAAGGTGCCCCCCTATATGGGTGCTCTTCTTTCCCACTTCTGTGGGGTCCCTGAGGGCAGGGCTCTGGCATTTTACAGCAGGAGCCAGGAAGGCAGCCGTCCGTGGCCACAGCTCTGCTCCTGAAAAAGCTGACTGTGTTCCTGGTTGGCTCAGGAGCATATGCTTCCAAGTCAGTCTCCTTTGATGAAAGTTTTGGGGAAATATGGGATCAGGTATTAGTTGAGTTTCATAAGCTGAAGCGTTTATAGATTGGTTGACCTGTGTATGTATGATTACCGTGTGGCTAATGGGATTGCTGTTGATGGCTAACAGTCATAAGTGCTGGAGTGATAAGATCATTGTTGTTTGGTGGATTCGATTGGGTGAGGTAGCTGTTGATTGCTAGCCTTCTGCAGTGCTGGGATGAAGCATTTGTTGATTGGATGACTCACTGGAGGGAGGCAGTTGATTGACTGGCCCCCTAAAACTTTTGTATTGATGGGAATCTGTCATAAATCCATTAGAATAGGTTTAAACCCATTGCTGTGGCTGAGGAACAACCAGGCCTTTCCTAAATACAGAGAAACTTTTACTATCACCTGTCCTTGAACCATAGATTTCCTGAGTTGGAATATATCTTATCAAAACACAGACCATACATTAGACCCTCACCCAACCACCCACCTCCAGAGTGAACACATGAGCTCAGATTTGGGATTTGACAGACATGAGCTAATATCTTGACTCCCATTTAACAAGTCACTGAGTCTCTGTGATCCTCAGTCTCCTAAAGGATAACACCTCTATTTCTGAAAGGGGGTGTTGTATTGATTAAATGAGTTCATGTGTGTCAAGTACCCACCATACACTCAACATTTACTTGCCTAAACTGAACATTTGAGTTTTCATAACAGGCCACAGGTCTAGCGACCAGGAATGCAACCTGCAGAGGCCATTTGGTGACTCATGTCCCTCTTACTTGGTTGTTCCCTTCTAAGGTCTGTCAGAATCACAAGCTGTAAAAATCTGAAGCTCAGGCCCCACTCCCAGAGATTCTGATACAGTTGATCTGTGGGAGAGCCCAAGCACTGATATTTTTTAAGCTCCCATGGGATGTTCAGCTCCCATGCCTGGCCAGCTCCTTACCTAAAGTCATGCAGAAAATTAAGAAATTGCTTTGATCGGTCTTAAGGGATGCCCTGCCCTTGTTAAAAACTCTGTTGAAAATTTTGGAATTGAGAAACAAACTTGGGATTCTAATGGGAAATTCTTTGGTTTTTATTCCTATTACTGCTCTCATTATTATTATTTTTTAAAGGGAGCAAAAACCCACCTTTATAATTTTCAAAATCTAACCTGACAGGAAGGTTGGTCAGGATAGAGAGACACGTGGTATGGACTTGACATTTTCTGAAAGTAGATTACAAACTTGTCTACCTTTAGGAAATGAGCTTTGTGTAAACTCTATCCTATTGGTTGTTGTATACATTATATATAAGCTTTATTAAATATTGCCACCTTCTCTAGAGGTTTGTTATCTCTAAATTGTAAACTCACTTTATAAAAGAGGAGAACATGCATTATTTATAAACTTCTACAGCATCTGGCAGAAAGTGTCATGTTATTTAAAAACGGTATTTACACCTCCATGGTAGCAGTGTGCATTGCGTCAGTTGCCTCTATAATCCTAAAGTCATCCCTGTGAAATAATGGGAACTAGAAGGGATTTTAGTCTGGTCTTTCCACTATGCCTTTCTTTCTAGTTTTGAAGAGACTTCTAGTCAGTTGAACTGAATATTGAATTTTCTTGCTGAAAAAATAACTGGCCCTAATTTTACCCAAGAAGTATGGAACTGCTGAAATACTGGACAGTTATCTTCATATTAGTCACTCAGGTATACCTTTTCTATTTATTACTTCCAGAGTTGACTTCCCTAGATATATAACATGCTTTATTTATCTGTTGATGTTAATAGACTTTTTTTTTTAAATCCTCACCTGGGGATATGTTTATTGATTTTATAGAGAGGAAGGGGCGAGGGGAGACACAGAGACAGAGGCCGACACCAATGTGAGAAACATTGATTGGTTGCCTCCTGTACATGCCCCAACCAGGGAATGAACCCGCATCACTTGGTGTACAGGATGATGCTCCAACCGATAAACCACTCAGTCGGGGCAGAAAACTTTACTTTTGGATAATTGTATTATTACAGTTTCATTCTTGGTGTTGTATATTTTATGGATCTTGACAAATGTATAATGACATATAGCCACTATTAAAGTACCATGCAGAATATTTTCACTGCCCTAAAAACCCTAGTGCTGTGCCTGTTCACCCTTTTCTCCCTCCACACCCCTGGAAACCAGAGATCTTTTTAATGTCTTCATAGTTTTGCCTTTTCCAGAATTTCTGTAGCTGGAATTGTTAAAGAAAAAATTAATCATGGCACTTATTGTAGAACCCTGGGGCAGATTATTCAGTGGACTGCTACATGGAAGTTTGGCAGTATAGGACAGAGATTGGGTCCAACTCCAAACACAAGAAGGAAAAGCAGAAGTTTACAGCCTAGGAGCAGGTTGGGGCTGGCCGGCTGGAAAATTCCTAGGAGGAAACATTAAAGGGGGTATTCTGACCAACAGGATTCTTCCTAAAGGCAGACCATCTGGTGGTCAGGCTTCACCTGGGTTAAGGTGAAGGATTCTGGCCAAATCAACTTAGCATGATTCTTGTTAAAATTGGTCAGTGCAAAGATGGATATGGAAGTATGAAAGTCGAGGCCTAGTTTGGGAAGAGGCTTCAGAGGGACCTGACGAACATTTGGTCAAAGATAGAGTCTTTGTAAGAGAATCAGATTTGTTTATTTCATTTGGTTATGTACATTGAAGTTTTCTCCGTGTGTTTTCATGGCTTGATAGCTTTTTAAAAAAGATTACTTTGTAATATTCCATTATCTGGATGTACCACAGTTTATCCATTCATCTACTGAAAGACACCTTTATTGCTTCCAAATTTTTGGCAGTTATGAATGAAACAGCTATAGACATCTGTGTACAGGTTTCAAGGATAATTTTATAGAAAAGCCACAAAAGTAGTACAAAACATTCCTTTGTACCCTTCACTCAGTTTCTCCTAGTATTAACATTTTATACAACCCTGGCACATTTGTCAAAACTAAGAGATTAACATTGATACATTACTATTAACTAAACTTTACGTGAATTTCACCAGTGTTTACCTGGTTTCCTTTTTCTGTTTCAGGATCCAGTGCAGGATACCACGTTGTAGTAATACATTTATTTTCATTTTAATTTATAGGAAAAATTTGGGTGCTTTTTAAATTATTAAATATGTTCATAAAATTCAGCACATACTAAGAAAGTGGATGTAAACATATAAGCTATAAGGATCTGTTGTTGCTTAATTGGATGAACACAATTATATTGTTGTTTAGAATTTTTTGAAAGTTTATTTTTGTCTTTGGCAGAGCCTGCAGAATTCACAGTGTACAAAATTAAGATTTGTTTTATAAGGTTGCTGTTTTTAAACAAAATACTAAAGCTTATTGAAAGAAGGTCATGCTAACATTGATTATTTCAAGATGCAGGAGAAAACTGGTTGCCAAGTTGTAATAAAAGCTGTCAATTGCATAATTTTTCAATTTGATGCAAAGGATGAAGTGTTTGATGGTTCTCTAATGAACATCTCCAAATGTTTGCTGGCAGAAGGACTCCATGAAAGATGACAGAAGAAGTCATTGTTATAGCAAAGTGGGACTACACTGCCCAACAGGACCAGGAGCTTGACATCAAGAAGAACGAGCGCCTGTGGCTGCTGGATGACTCCAAGACGTGGTGGCGGGTGAGGAACGCCGCCAACAGGACGGGCTACGTGCCGTCCAACTACGTGGAGAGGAAGAACAGCCTGAAGAAGGGCTCCCTGGTGAAGAACCTGAAAGACACACTAGGTGAGTGTTCGCTGCATTAGGACCCACGCGAGAACTGAACTACTTCCCGTTAAGGAGAGTGAGAAAGCCTCATTGGCCCTTTTTGAGGAGAAAGTGTTCATCTTTTTAGTTTGTGATTTGTTTGTTTGTTTGTGTGTTTGTTTTTAAAGGGTCTATTTTAAATATTGACATTATTCTAGTTGCCTTGTTTTTTAATCTCCAAAAATTAAGAGACGAAAATGGAGAAATATCATGTCTGTCATTTCCTGGAGATTTTGGAGTTTGGAGTTTTATGTAAGCTGACGCTGCCATGTGTTTTGGGCCCCTGCACATGTCTCTCTCTCCTGACACCAACATTCTAAAGGATCATGAAGTGGAATTACCACCTCCAAAAATATCAACAGCTCCGCCTGTGTCATTCCATCAAGTATTTTCTCTCTCACAAAATCCTGTCCATTTGGCCCTTATGCATAGAAAAGGAGGAGATAGTGAGAAGCACTTTGAACCCAGGTGAATTTCATACCAAAAGTTCTGGACAGTGTCAGTTAATTTGGCAACTGGGCAAGCACCAGTGTGATGTCTGAGGCCATCTAGGGTCACTCAGGTGGGGACTGCTGGGTGCTTAGCTCTGTTGGCTCATGTCCAGCGTTCTTCCCACATGCCTTTCCCTTTTCCGCTTTTGGGAGATGGGAAGGGCCAATTTTAATCACCTGAAGTTAATGGCAGCCAACTTTGCCTTTGTATTTTGTATGCATATCAGGCTGACTTGCACTAGTTACTGCTCCAGATTATGTGAGAAAATAACTTTGAGGGCCTTTTTGAAGAATAAATGAACTGAGCTGCCATTTAAAAAAAGTTATTGTTGCTGCCTTATGTAAGTATCTTGTTGCATATGAGACTGCGGGTTATCACTTAAGAGTTTACTATTGAAATAAGTCAATATTATCACCCATGCTATGTTTACCTGAGTTTTTCCTCTTTATTTCTAACAAGGTAATTATTTTTTCCCATTTAGGGGAGAAGGTGACAGGTGGGGAAACTGAAAAGGAAATTATACTAAATGTAGTGGGTGTTGCAAAATATTTGTCTTTCATTTCACAGTCTTGAAAAGTCTACTAACTCTTCAAAACCATTTAAAGTCTTTGTTAATTGGATAGTACACTTGTATTAGAGATTAGGTTGTGCCCGTGATTTGGGGAGAAAAATGAAACAAAGGCCTGTGTAGGAGACACACCGGCTTACCAGCTCTCCGAGATTCTAAGCCTGATGTTGAAATTTCATTTTTCATGAACAATCTGATTATTTTTCCACTAAACTGACATCCCTTTATCTTTGTTTTCCAAGCAAGTCACTGGAAAGAAATATTGTTGTACTATTCTTACACCTTTTAATTAACTGTGGTAAAGAAATGTAAGTAGCATGAATAGGTAAATACTTTGAGTGGCTGAGCATAATAATTTTATGTATGTTTTCCAATTTCAGCTTTTCACCTGCAAAGTGCCTTTTTTTTTTTTTGAGCTACTAAACATTGTTAAGTAGTTCTGTCTTTTTATTCTAATTTTAAAAAATATACTCTCAAGATTCTAGTAAAGAATGAAATGTCCAGAAACTGAGTGAATGAAACACTGGGGGAAAAAATAAGGCAAAGCAAGCACTCTGATTTATCTAAAAATTTCCTTGAATAACTTGTCTTTCTCTTCCTTCAGTGTTTAGGAGGAGAGGAGACAAAGCCTCATATTGAAACTGTTCACCACGTCTTTCACCCAGTGTTTAGTTTTCCCACTAGCTGTGATCAGAGCGGTGACCAGGTCAACATGGGCATGTGCTGAGGGCTCTCAGAGCAAGGCAGGCTGGTTCACCCTCCTCATGCTGGGTGCTGGGCCCCACCCTGCCTCTGACAGATGGCCTCCCTGCTCTGCTGGAACACTTCTACTTCTAAGTCAGCCAGTTCCATTTTTGGAGATCACAGATTGTTAGAAAGCTCTTCCTTAAATAGAATCAGCTTGCTTCTCACGTGCCCTCGAGAGCTGTGCTGAGTGAAGTGTGCTCCCCTGGAGAATGACCGCTCTCCTCCAGGCTCAGTCCCCACTCAGGCACACACTGCCTTGGAAATGTTTGTACTGAGCACTGTACAAATAAAAACGCATATGCAATCATATTTTATCTGTTAGTAACTGTTGTTAGTCATAGTCTGAAAGTCGGTATTTACATCTCCGTAGAGCAGTGCCCCGCTTTGTTGTATGTCTTTTTGTTTCGATGTATCTATCATGCTCCCCCAAAGCCTTGCTTTTGTTGGACAAGGAGAGACCTTGTTACCTCAGCATAAGTTTTTGTTGCCCTTTCGAGCAATATCAAAGAGAAGGGAGTCCTCTGGCAAGAATCGCCACAGTGGAGAGGCTTCTTACATCGCCACAGCCAAACTTGACATTGTTATCAAGAAGGAAAGTAAGAAGACCTTCTGCAGTTCCCCTGCCTCCCAGAGGTCTCTGTTGCTAAAAAAAAAGATTGGAGCTAAAGCGGTCATGGCTTCCTGTTTGCTGTTACCAGTGTGCTGTCAGAATTATAGTATGTTTTAGAGTGGTATCACAGTATCATCCACAGTTGTAATTTGTACTGCTGGGGAAATCTACCTTAATTCCTAAGTCTACAATAAAATTCCCTAGCAGATGCCTTGTTTGGAAAAATAGCACCAGACTTCTCAGCAAAGTCACAGTGTTACAAGTGTGTTTATATCTCTAATTGCAGATAACTGTAGCTCTATCAAGTTCTCTCCTCTGTTCTTGTACTCATCTGGTATGTTGATGTTGGCAGTACATTAATCACATGTAGTACTTGGTTAGAGTGACTTTGAGAAAGCAGTATCTTTCACAAAAAAATCTGTTAGGAAAGGGTGACCATTTCTTCTTTTCCTTTAATAATTTGTAATTGGATAAAACAATATGAGTCCTTACTTGCTCATGGGCAAAACATTTCTATATACTGGATCTCCTCTCATAATTCATCTTATGATCATGAATAGTCGAAAAGAATTTGTCCATAGATAGCAAGCATCAGTTGTTAAGAACCGTTGCCACCAGCAGTGCTCAGTTGGTATTTTGAAGGCTTCTGACTGCAGAGCCCTCCAGCCCCGCAGTGAGGAGTGTTCTTGGGCTACCATCTGGCCTGGAAATGGCAGCCTGAGTTATAAAATCCCTGGTATTAGATGTTGTAAAGTGCAAAATATTTAGATGTGAGGAAGCTGATTCCAAGGAGGTCTTTTTTGAAAGACTTTCCTTTGGGCTGCTGAAGAGCAGTGTTTGTTACCACTTTGTAACAGCTGGAACCCACCAAAACCCCAAAGGGTAACTCTTCTCAATGACTAAGTCCACGTGCCGACTTAGGGTGCACAAAATGATACAGTTCCATCTATAATGCCTGATCCAAGGCACACATGCCCATCGTTAGGCTTCTGGATCCAAAAGTGACATGCCACAAGGTTTGCTCCTTGAACATTTGTCCCAAAGTGACCATACGGCTACATAGAAACCTCTCTGTGATTAGGACTCCCACCTGTGATTCTAAGCCAGACCTAGGAGCAGAGTGGAGTTGCCAAAAGGGACTCCTCAGTGCTTGTGCTGGTTTGAGCTAATGGCTTTTTACCAGGAGAAGGTGATTCTTGTGATTGAAATTCACAAGGTTCTTAGAAGCATGTCTATGCTAAGATTGACTTTGGAGTAGCTAAGTGGCTTCTCCAAGAATTCATTAGTCATAGTTACCCAGCAGAGATGGGACTTCAACTCAAACTTGAATTTCTTCTACTATAGCAAGTTGAATATCAGGATTTAGTAGATGGGCATTTGCTAGGGCTCTGTGGCAGAGTAAAGCACTTAGAACATTAGAGGAAATTTTAGTGACAACCAGTTCTTATTTTAGAGCTGAAAACTTACTAACAAAACTTGCTTAGCATCCTGGAGTTAAGTGGTAATAATGTATCAATGTTCATTGCCTGATTTTGATACTTGGATTGTGGTTCTGAAGGATAATGTCCTTGTTTGTGGAAAAACACACAAAGTATTCAAATGATTGGGACATCATTTGGGTAACTTGCTCTCAAATGGCAGGGAAAAAAACATTCTTATAAAGGTTCTGTACGTTAAAAAAAACAGACATATACAAGAGTGGTTTGGAGACCCCACCAGGATATAAAGTTGGCTTGTGGGAGAGGAAACATAACTTGGGCTTCCGAACTCTATCTGCATACTTAGAGTGTTCCAGTGCCTTACATTTGGTAAAAGCCTTTCAAAGATCAATGGGTATCACTGAGCACCTACTGAGATTGGACCTGAAACACAAGATTAACACCAGTATAGGCATGTCCAATTGATTCTTCATCAGAATGGTTTCCTCCAGTATACTTGACCCAGAACTTTATATAGTCAGCAGGTTCTCTCCATATCACCAGCTTCCATGTAAGGAAATCCCTGCTTCTTGCTGGATCAGCCCAGACAGTTTTGAGCCAGTTTTGAGCCAGTTCAATATATGCTTTTTTGTTACAATGGAGAGAGGGAGAAGCAATGGCCAGAAACAATCTCCCAGACTCACAGCCTCCATGGTAGTACAGGATGTGGGGGAATTTTCATTTAGACACTGTGGGATTGTGGGTCTTTGCTGTGATTATAAATGTCCTAAGCAGGTCTGAACCTGGGCATGTGATTCGTTATGAATGAAATGTGAGTAATGAGTGTCACAGCCGAGGGAGCCGAGTCTGAATTTCAGTTGTCTCTTCCTCACTCCGTCGCTTGGAAATCCCTTCTAAGCCACTTTATTCCCTGCTGAGTGAATTTTGAAAGTAACCAAAGGCTTTGAAATAGGGATGCAAACATTATGTAGGGATAAGCACTTTGTAACAGGGTATATGCTCAGATCAGAAGAGGACGCCTGGCTGGACATTACTTTATCTGGCAGGACATAAAGAAAGCATAAGGTTTAGATCCTGACTCCCTGAAGCTTGTGACATAATTGGAAAAATGACACACGTACAA